CCCCAAAACCCCAAAACCCCAAAACCCCAAAACCCCTTCAAAAATCTTAAAAATTGAAAATTTGCCTGAAACAGGCCAAAATGAACAAATCTCAAAAAGAGCTCAAATGTTATGAAATGAAGACTAGTAATACAGTTACTGGGATAGATGAGACGGTGAGAGATAGATTTAAAGCCCTCGCAAATATTTCAAATATCCTTGCTGAGATAAGTTCGCAATATGAAGCAGAAGCGAAGAGAATAGAGTTTCAAGCAGAGCAGGCTAATAAGCCCTTGTATAGTCTTCGATCAATGATCGTGCAAGGCAAAGATGTCGATGGAACAGAGCATATGATTCAGGAGTTTGACCTGAGATATGAGGAAGCCAAGAATAGTAATTTTGAAGATATTAAGGTAAAAGAGTTCAATAAAGTTGATGAAATTAGGGGCCAGAAAGGAATTCCTAGTTTTTGGCTGAATGTAATGAAGCATAGTACTATGGCAAGCTCTTTAATTCTCCGCAATGATGAGAATCTGTTGAAGGATCTTTATGATATTGAGTATATTCCTCAACAAGAGAGTGGAGATTTTGTATTAAAGTTTCATTTTAACCCGAACTCGTACATGTCAAATACAGTTCTTACAAAGAGGTACATTATGGAAGATGACTCTAAGATTAAACAAATTGACTCTACCAAAATTTGATGGAAAGATGGAATGGATCTGACTGAGAAACCAAAACCTTCCGATACTTCTGAATATGATTATGACGAGACAGAATCTTTCTTCAAGTTCTTTAAGTCTAAAGAACCATGAGAATTAAATGAAGATGAAGGTGATCTCAATTCCGATGATGAAGCAAAACTTAACACCTTAGAAGAAGATTATGATATTGCTGTAGAGATCAAATCTGAGCTAATCCCAAACGCACTAGAATACTATTTCAACATTATTGATGAAATAGATAACGATAAAGACAACGGCAGTTTCTCACCAGATGAATAATATTCAACCTTACAAACTCCATAGGGGTTTTGGGGTTTTGGGGTTTTGGGGTTTTGGGG